CTTTTCTTTTTTTTTGGGGGGGGCGGGGGGGTGGGGCAGGGGTAAAGAAAGTCTTTGAGGTAATGGCCTCTTTAGAAGGCCAGCAGGACACTGAATTCCAAAGGTTCCAAATGCAGTTGGAAAAATGTAGGATGGTTGGATTGGTGGTGAGGTGCTTCCATATTGGCCGCAGGCCTGCAGAGCACCTGAGAAAAGGTACATATATTTGGGAAATTGAGTCTAGGGAGGAGCCAGACACTCTGAACAACAGAAAAGAAAGAGACTGAGTGCACTGACTGGAAACCCAGGAATGGAACAGTACTGATGCATCTACTAAAGACCAAGTGATGCTTACAGCCGGAGAGTTTCTGTTGATCACTAGTGCCACACACAGTGCCTAAATACAGTTGTTTTGCATGTGAGAGGATATAAAAATACTGTGGGGAAACTCAACATATTGCTTCCATCAGTGTAGCTGAAATGTTAAGATGACCTTTGAAACTGTTTATAAAAAGACTGTCATTTACACAGAGAAATTGAAATAGATTGGGGAGGAGGGGAGTTAGAATGGTTGCACACAGTACAGTTTGTGCTTGATATTCATATCTATACAATGTGTTTACATATTTGAGTGTTATGAAATATAACCAAGAGCATGTTTTTTAATCTTCAAAAGGAGGAAAATCACAATCTATGTTTTAAAGTGCAAAGGGTGAGCCAAATTCAGCCCTGGTGTAAGCAAATGCATTACTGCTGAAGTAATGGAGCTGCACCTAATGTGTGCGCCCATCCTATTTGAATGTAGACTTACCTGGAGAGATGGCTCTGTGGAACTGATACATGTCTTCTCCTATCAGTTCTTGTGCTACTTGCTTAATTTTCTGTCTGACGGCTTCTAATTTGGCCTCAGATTCATTTAGTATTTCCTCCCCATTGGGATCACTGTGAACACAAAATACAAATAAAATTACGAAGTGACAGCTGTTAGAACATCAAAAAAAGTTCAATTACATACTTTATCTTCTACTAACCACCCTATGTTTAATTAGTGCAGTCAAAATTAAATATTTTGGAATGAGCCAAATTTAAAATGAATCTTTCTGATCTAGTGTAAGTAGGTACCTTTGATCTCCATTGCAGATTCAAAAAAGAATTGCCCTTAAGATAATCAACCATTCAAACCCAGTCTGAATAGCATGCTGCTTATTTCAGGCTGTAGCTTTAACTATGACTAAAGCAGAAGTAATGAGGAAGCTCATGACAAGGCTCAAAATAAATATGGAAAATAGCTAGAAAAATCTGCAGAAGACTTCTCTCCCATACACAAAATCCACAGCATTTTGCAATACATTAGATTAACATAGCACAAGGATCTTCTTTATAAATGTTTTTAGGCAGTATTTATGAAATATGCCACTAAGGAACCCTCTACAGTATCTGATCCACAACTATCGTTACATTAGATTTTATATACAGCATTTAAAGGCCAGTTCATCTATTATACTTAAAAAGCCCGGACAATGTACACAGTATTATAGGTTTACGACATCTCTTTTTAAATTACTATTTTGTGGATTTAGCGGATACAGTGAAAGCTGTGTTATCCAGCCCTCTACCAACCAAAAAGCTCCATAAATTGGCATTTCTAATATTCATAGAATGTCTGGTTTATAGTCTGGTTGATGCAGGGCTGGCAGGCTCCCTACCTGGCTCCGCGTGGCTCCCCGGAAGCGGCGATATGTCCCTGCTGCTTCTAGGCGGAGGAATGGCCATGAGAGGGTCAGAGTGTGGGAAGGGGTGCGGGGCTGGTGGTTGGGGTGTGGGCTCAGGGAGGGGGTTTGGGTGCAGGAGAGGGCTTGGGGCAGGGGCGCGAGAGGGGTTTTGGGCTGCCAGATCCAGGGAGTGCTCACCTCAGGCAGCTCCCCACAAGTGGTGACCTGTCCCTGCTGTTTTAGGCAGAGGCACAGGTAGGCAGCTCTGCACACAGCCTCTGCCCACAGGCGCCAACCCCGCAGCTCCCAATGGCCGCGGTTCCTGGCCAATGGGAGCTGCAGAGCCAGCGCTTGGGGCGGGGCAGGGGCAGTCGCGCCTCCACCTCGGAACAGCAGGGACAGGTCACCGCTTGTAGGGAGCTGCCCAAGGTGAGCACCCCCTGGATCCAGAACCCCAAAATCCTTCTCACGCACCAATCCCCTGTCCCAAGACCGCTCCCACACCCAAACTCCCTCTCAGTTAACCAAAATTTTTCACTTACCAGTACCCCTCTATTCCCCCAACAGGACGGATAAAAAAAGCTTTTACTGTAGTTTGGTTATGAACAAATGTTTAAAGATGGTTAGAATTCTGAAACTGGGCTCTGTACTGAATAGTTAAGACAGAGAGGGGAAGGGAAGTACAGACACAGTATGGCAAACCACCATTAGTACACTTCTAGAAAACAGGATTCCATGATGCAAAGGAATCTAAAAGCTTATGCCGAGTCTACATATACAAGCCTTCTCCCCCCTGAAAGTTCCAACGTTGCTATTCTTTGTGCAGCAACAGAGGCAGCGCTAGTGCAGCAAAGGCTCTAGTGGCCACTAGAATGATAAACCACCATGTTGTTTACCTCTGCTCAAAGCAAGTCTGGACAGCAGCAAGGTTAAAAAACGGCAGCTGCCAGCATCTTACCTACAATAGCATTTACACCGTTGCTACCATTGTGGAGCTGCACTGGTGATAACAACAGTGGGAATTTTTAGGGAAAAAAGACGAATACAGACAAAGCCCAATGTCTGAAATTACATATGTAATTCTCCAGGTAAATCTTTTATACAATAGGTTGTGGCAAGCCTCAACTTTTTCCATTGTTCTCCCAGCACCTACTGCTTCCAATGATCAGGGCCCAAAATGCAAGGAACCCTACAGCTATGTATATAGACACTCCTTAAGTTCCAGCATGTATGGGGTTCCGAGTAGAACCCAGGTTCCTGGCTCATCACATGGGTGATCTGGGGTGGGACTATAAAAGAAACGGGCAAGTTATTTCAAAGGCAGCTACCTAGAAGGGTGTGTTCTTTCCCCTCCCAGCTTGCTGGAAAGGTCTCTGTTGGCTGTTACCAAGTGTTCCGTGTTACTCTGGCCTTGTTTTGGAATATTCTTTATGTTAATAAAGCCATCTCTAAGGAAATGGATTTGACATGAACTAGAGGCTGGTCCTTACTTTTAATTTCCCGATTGATGCACGCGCCCACTGGCTTACATATCCTTTTAGAGGAAATAAAACACAACAGCTTGTGGGAAATGAACTGAGCCTATGTTTATCTTCCTTGATGTCTAGCTCAACAGAATATTGCATCTGTTACTCATAGATAGAGAAAACTCTGCAAGGCAATAGCAAGTTTCTGGGTCAGCATGGAAATGGGAATTAATGTTGTGACTCACCTAGTAATCCTGTGAAGTAGGAATATTGTCCTTTTACTTTCAATAGTTATATCACGACTAAGTTTCACAAGCCTCTCATATTTATCATGTCTTGTATCAAGCTCCAGTTGAAATGCTAAGAACAGAATGCAGATGATCACAAAAATAATTCTCATGTGTAGTCTAGTACAATAATATTAAGTATTCTATTCCTACACTATTTGTGTAACAGAAACATTTAATCTTCCATTATTTCATATTTGTTTTAGATTTTTTTATATACAGATGGTCACACAATTACAATGCTTTACTATAGGCTACAGCAGGGAAAATACAATAAATAATACATTTTAAAAGCAGTAAAGGAAAGTCATTTTTATTCCTAATAGACTAATTTATGGCCTGATCCTGCTGCCACAATGGAGGACCTTGTTTGGTTTAGCTTCATCATAACTTATATGACTAATTAGCTGCTACTCCCTTACTAGTTAATCTCTGTTTCTACTCATGTCTCAACACCTCCTCCCGCCACGCTCACTCTTTGGAGGGTAGACACATCGGGAATACATGTTATGTCTGTATTATGAGTCTATGTGAACAGTTTGTTTAGAAATAATGATGATTCCTAAAGGATTTTAGTTACCTGTGAAACATTCAGAATGTTTTGACTGTGATCAAGAAAAAATTTACAGTTCTCACTTTCTTTCTTTTGTTGCTCATTCTTCCTTACCTTCTACTTTCTCTCTTTTTTCTGACAGTTCTCCTCAATTAATTTGTATTAGGGCTCTTACATTCTCTCTAACTTGCCACCATATACATACATTCAATCCCGCAGAGGGCAGTCAAACATACTAATATGTGTGCCTCTTTCAATGTAACAAATTCATGATGAACAGCTATTCTTCAGATTGGAGAGAAGTTAGATAGTGTAGGGTCAGCATTGGGATTAATGTTTATTAAATATAATGGACAACAAAAGGGCAAAGTTAATCAATTCCAAAGTAATAGAAATCTGATACCAGGGCATCTTTTTTAAAAAAGGGAGAATTTTTAAATGTTCCCCCTGCAAGGGTTAGTAAATATTTTACTAAAAATATTACACAGAAAATGCAATTGTTCTCTGAATATTATTGTGCCTAATTTGGAGAGGAAGGCTTTTGTCTATACTGAGAAAACATATCAGAAAACAAGTTAATTAAGGGTATATCTACAATGCAGCTGGGAGCATGCCTCCCAGCAGTAGACAGATACGCTAGCTCTGTTCAAATTAGTGTGCTAAAAATAGCAGTGTAGCCAGTGGTAGCATGGTCAGCAGCTCAGACTAGTCACCCGAGTACATCCCTGGGGGATCTGGGAGGGAGTCTGAACTGCCACCTATGCCAACTCCAACTATTTTTAACACGCTAGCTTGAGTAGAGCAAGAGCATGTGTGCCGACTCGTGCTGGGAAGCACACTCCCAGCTGCGGTGTAAACATACATGCAACTCTGTGGTTCGACCAGTTAGCATGTTTCTAAACACAACTGTCTCTGTTCACACTAAAAGAAAAATAATTTTGAACACTGTGCTAGTTACAAAATGTTAATCAACACATTTCCTAACAGGATGCATTTTCCCAGTCTAGACAAGACCTATAGTCAATTATTAAAGTGTGAAATCGGATTGTTGCTCTTCTTTAAATGCAAATCTCACCACAGCCTTATTTATAGATTCATACTAATGCCTGCATAGTAGTATTATAGGGGCCTCAGGGAAGGGAAGGGTTTAAAGCATGATAAACTAGAGGTCCTTAATATCAGACAATTAACAGTGCACACAAACATTAACAAAATATAAAGTTTCATTCATGTGAATTTATTTTTGAAGAATTCTAATCACTCATTTTTATATAACACCGGATACCATTAATAATCATGCTACAGCTGCACCACAAAGTTAATTTTTATTTGTTTACAGACATACAAAATATCTAGTATTGGAAAAACAACAATATCAATTACTGACAATCAGTAGAAACCTTCTCTAATAGCAGCTATGTGCTCCAAATAATGAAGTCTTCACTTTACAAAAGCTTATTTATCTTAGTTATATTAGTCTTCTACCAATAGATAATTTTAAATCATGCCAAGATATGGGTTTAACTTTCTGATCAGATCAATTATTTTCCATTGTTTTATTTACACACACCAATTTCTGTTTCCTAGCTTTTTTTCATGTTGCAAGGACTCCCCGACCCCACACAATTATCCTTGGATTCTTCCCTCTTCACAGTACTCAACCCTTAAAAGAAAAGTGGAGCAACCTTGTTGAGATATTAAATCAGGGGTCTGGATCATATCAGTGTGCTTTAATCAAGTCAGTTTCCCCTACAAAACCCACCTTGCAGGTGTACTAAGGTGTGTCTACATAAGAAAGGTGCATTTAAGGTGATTTTTTTAAAAGCAGTTGAACTAGTGCAAAGCGCTGTGTAATCACTTAAAGAAGAGTCATAAAGAAAAATCAGTGACAAAGGTACAAGCCATATTATTGGGTTGCATTTCTAAGTCTATCATTATGACAAAAAGGTTGGATAGTTTATTTTGGTTTAAACCAAGCTTATTTTGATGTAGTTTAAATTAGGAACAGGTTTAAGGCTAAATCAAAATAAGACTCTCAAACCAAAATAAATGTCTACACATGGGTTTGCACTAGTTTAACAACTAAACTAGTTAAAAAACTTCTGCGTGTAAACAAGCCCTAGTCTCAAATAACTACAACTGTCAGTTGTGAGCAGCAAAGCTCTCCTTTCAAAGGTGATGAGCAAGGTTAAGATTCTGTCATGGGTATTTTTAGTAAGTCAGGGATAGGTCATAGGCAATAAACAAAAATTCACAGAAGCCTGCAACCTGTCCCTGACTTCTACTAAAAATACAGGGATGGCGGGAGCTGTTCTGGGGGCCACTGCTCTGGCCCTGGCCAGCTGCTCCGGCAGCAGTGTTCCAGTGGACAAGGCTCCAGCACTGCCTCAGAAGTAACAGAGATCCATGACAGAATCATATTCCTAGTGATCAGCAAGAAGTGCTCTGTCTCACTCTTCCCCTAACTTAAAAGTGACCCCATCATCTCTACCACAGCACTCTGCTGGCTTAGAAAGCGATAGATCACGTCCCAAATTTAGAGAGTCTCACTGATTTTAATTTTGCCTATAGACAGCTCCATATTACCCCATCACTAAATATTTTATTTCCACTAACTTTTATTGTATACATTGCTATGATCTGGACTTTCAACTTTTACTTACACTTAAAAGACACCATCAAAGATGAAGACGAATTAACATTGTTTTTTTCATCTTTTCTTTGACCATGTGGGAAATTGTCATGCTTTCGTTTTCTGAACCCACCCGATCCTATAAATAGAACACACAGAAAAAAATGTAGAGATTTAAATATTATTGAGTACCAGTTTTATAACAGCTTGACCAGATGTCATGGCATTCATTTCAGGAGTGTTTTTTAACATATCCAACGTTGAAAAGTTTATATCCATCCTTCCAAGTATCAGAGGGGTAGCCGTGTTAGTCTGTATCCACAAAAACAACAAAGAGTCCGGTGGCACCTTAAAGACTAACAGATTTATTTGGGCATAAGCTTTAATCTGAAGAAGTGGGGGTTTTTACCCATGAAAGCTTATGCCCAAATAAATCTGTTAGTCTTTAAGGTGCCACCGGATTCCTCATCCTTCCAAGGTAACTATAATTCGACTCTATCCAGTTTACTGTAAAGAATACTGTAAGGGACATAAAAACTGAAGTCTTGGTTGCTTTGTGTAAACATTATGGACTCCATTATTCTTCCATTGAAATCAATAGCAAGCCTGCTCTTGATTTCAACTGAAGCATGATGGAGCACCAAAAGATCCCCGTCACTTTTAGAGATCTCTCTCTCTCTCTCCCTCTATATAAATAAAATTAGGCACGCACATGCGCACACACACACAGATATATGTACAGATGCCCCCCCGGGGTTACGCAAACCCGATTTACGCAAATCTGCACTTACGGAAAAAGTTCCGGAAGCTAGAAATAGGAGGTGGGGTTTTGGGGGTTTTTTTGGCATAACTGTCGGGTATACGTTTCCGACTTACGCAAAATTCGAGGAGCGTCAGTATATATATTATATAGAGACATAGAGCTAGAGCTAGATATAGATATACACACACACATATATATATAAGGCCTGATCCCGGAAACCTTTAACCCACTAAATATGATGAGACTGAGCAGGTTGCAGGATTGATTCCATACCTTGTAAAGTGTTTTGAAATCCTTTAGAATAAGTGGAACCATATCATTGTAAAATTATTACCACTGTCTCACTGTACCTCTTTCACCACAGAACTTTGGTCTTTGGAGAATAGAAGGAGCAATTTAAGAAGGCAATTATTGTTCAGTGTATTAATTTCATCTGTTGCTTCCCATATTAGCTCCCTGTGCTCTAGCCACTCTTATTGTCTCCCCTCTCACTTATCTATGTGATGTTTTCCCATGGGCTGCTCCCTAGAGCTGGACCCACATACCTCTTCCAACACACCAAATGTCCTCATTCTTCTCTTTCAAATCCCTCCTCAAAACCTATTCTTCTAACTTGTATTTTCCTACTAACTTCCACTCCTGTGCTACGTGCTCCTCTTGTCTTCCCACCATCTATGCTTTAGACAAAGCACAATTTAGGATTCACTTACTGCACAACACACATTGCTATATCTTCATTTTAACTTGTACCTCCTTTTCTCTACCTCCTTTTTGTAAGATATCTTCATTTTTATATTTAAATGATTGAGGCCCAGATCCTACAAACACTTATATGCCTGCTTAACTTTATACATGCGTCTAGTCTTGTTAATTTTCATTTTTCAAAAAGAAAGCAATTTTAAGTTATACACAGGATTTTAAATGTTTCAGTTAACTGTTTATTATCCCAAACCAAAACCAGAATGTGGACATAATTATTTTCAAAACAAGGAAATTGAAAATCAATATTTTCTTCACATCCCTGTCAGAAAATTAATTCAGGGTTCTGTTTTTTCTCCAACAGTTGAAAAGATCACATATATGACCTTTACAACAGTGCAGGGTGTGAGGTTGCACTCCATATGCTTTATGAAAATATGCTTATGAATGTGATTATGATGTAACTGGAATATGCTTTATGCAAAAGGTCTCTTGTAAGGTAGCATTACAAAGCTTATAATCTACTGAGTGTGTTCATCCTATTTGTTTGCATGTATTATTTCTATGTTTGGAGTTAGGAGAATAAGATATAAACTTGTATTACTGATGTAAACATATTAAGTGGAAGCCATTAAGGGTGCTTCAGAATCAATGAACTGTAAATGGCTCTGTTTACTTGCAAACCTTTCTGTGTACGTGTGGGCCAGCCCAGGAAGAATGGAGGCTGGGGTCTCACAGGACATGTGACCAAGTCACATGATACTGGAATCCATCTTAAATCCATCTTAAATCTGGTACTTTTCCATTTAGGAGAAGGAGTGGGGACCCAGAGAGACAAAAGATTCCCGCCTTGGGCCAATGCTATAAAAGGGGGTGGGGCAAGACAAAGGCTGCCAGTCATGAGAAAGCTCCTGCTTACCACCTAACTAACAAGGACTGTACCAGGGGAAAGGATTGGGCCCAGACTAGGAAGAAGTCTAGTCTGTGAAAGAAGCTTATTGGAACATCTGAGGGTGAGATATTACCTGTCATCAGTTTCTTAATGTATTAGGCTTAGACTTGCGTGTTTTGTTTTATTTTGCTTGGTGACTTACTTTGTTCTGTCTGCTTTTACTTGAAACCACTTAAATCCTACTTTTTATACTTAATAAAATTGATTTTGTTTATTAATAAACTCAGAATAAGTGATTAATACCTGGGGGAGCAAACAGCTGTGCATCTCTCTCTATCAGTGTTATAGAGGGCATACAATTTATGAATTTACCCTGCATAAGCTTTATACAGAATAAAATGGATTTATTTGGGGCTTGGATGCCATTGGGAGCTGGATGCTGGAGGCAGGTAACCTGCTAAGTAGTTTTCACTTAAAGCCTGCAGTTTTGGGGGTGTGGTCCAGACCCTGGGTCTGTGTTGCAGCAGGCTAGTGTGTCTGTCTCAACAAGACAGGGTTCTGGAAGTCCCAAGCTGGCAGAGAAAACGGGCTCAGAGGTAATTTCAGCACATCAGGTGACAGTCCCAAGGAGGTCTCTGTGACCAAACCCGTTACACAGGGATTGAAGCTCTCTGCTCTACTCTGAATGTCAGATACATCACCCACCACCAGCTACAGGAAAACCACAGGCAACCCATAAAAGGGATGGTTAAATCTACCTACCACACAAAGTAAACCCACAACCTGAATATTTAAAAAAAAATTACATTTCATTGAATTTTAAGGTTTTTTTTAGCTTCTAACTCCATTCCACAGTCAAAGGGAGGTGATGGAAGTGGTTTGTATGGATACCTGGCCCAAAATGGAGCTGGCAGGAAGCATACTGACACACAGCACTATGAAAAATTAAGTCACCAGCACAAACACCACCCTCTTCTAAGCCCTGGTCTAAACACAGATTTTGTATTGGTATAACTATGACAGTTAGGGTGTGGGATTTTTTTCCTGACATTTATGCAGGTATGGCCCCTAGGCATGATGCAGATGCACCACTCTAGGTTAGTGCCCCCATAAGCTTTAATAGGATAAGCACATTTACAACTGTGGCCACAGCTGGGGAGCTGCACCGCTATAACTCTACCAGGAGAGCAGCGCCAGGCGCGGGCAGACAAACCCTGGGGCCTCAGCTTGGGGAATGAAAGAGACCAAAAGGCGACGGGCCGAGCGGAAGCGTCTACACAGCAGCAGCGCAGGTGAGTGCAAAGGTCAGGGGAGGTGTTTGTACCCCCGGGTTGCTTCTTTGCGCTCTCTGAAGGTTTCCTCCCTTTAACAAGCTGTTTCGCCGCTTCTTTTTCGTGGCAGGCAGCCCGGTGCCCCGCACCGCGCTGTGCCCTGGTGGGCTGCCCAGGCGCCGGGATGGGGACCCGGGGCTCCGGGCACTAGCCACAGCGCTTAGCTCTCTCCCGTGCAGCTCTGCTGAAACCAGACGCCCGCAGGGGCTGAGCGGGAAGAGGCCTTTGCTAAACACTGGCCGCCGCCTCCCGCCAGCGCGAAGCCGGGGGGTGGGGGCGAGACCTTCGCGGGCCGGGGAGCAGAGGGGGGCGCAGGCTGTTGCCTGCCCCCGGGAGGGGGTCACCCGAGTGCAGCGGGGGAAGGGAGGGGCCCGCCGGGGCCTTCCCACCCCCGGGAACAGCAGCTACGTCGTGACCCCGGGGGCGGGGGAACCTCTGGCGCTACCGCCAAGCGCGACCCCGGCGTCACCTTCTTTGCTGCTCATATTCCCTGCGGCCCACGGGGGAGGCGACGCCCCGCCCCTCTCTCACGCGCGCGCCCGGGCCGCCGCTGTCGTGTCGCCGCCGGGAGTCTCGAGAGCTGCCAGGCTAGCCCCAACCTTAGTCGCGCCGTGAGCCGCGCTCCATCAGGACCCCCCAGCCAGGTGTCTAACGCAGGCGCCTGACACCATGCCCCCACTTGCGAGAGCCAACCCCAAAGTGCTGTCATAAAGCGGGAAGTGGTCAGAGCGGAGACGTCGCTGCAGAGGGAAGGAATCGGCCTCACTGTCTGCGAAAGGGCTAGGCCATGGAAACTAGTCATGTTTCCAAACAGGCACTCAGTTGTTGCTAAAGTAGTCCCACGTGCAGGACCCTCTCTAAGGCCTGATGAAAGCGGTGTATGATGGGAAATGTAGTTCTCTGCTGTGAACGTGGTGAACTACCTGGACAAAACGCCAGCAGCGCAAAATTCAAGCCTCGCATTTTCTTTTCTAAGCAGAAACTAGCTCAGGAATTCTTTCCTTCCAGGATAAAGACAGCCCTGTCGCCTTTGCAACCTTTTAGTTCTTAAAAAAAAAATCCCACGAATTAAAATGTTTCACTTTTACCAAATTTTTTAAAACCTTTTTAAAAACTTTTCATCTGCTTTTGCAAAAAATACTTTTCTTTTTTTCAGAGGTGCCACCAGACCAAAAAAATATAAAAACCAAGGGGAAAGTGAGAGTGAAAATGCATGAGTTGTGAAACGCATCACATCCTCACAGAAGATCTGGAAAACTGGAGTACCATTGATCATGGTTACTCCAAGCCCGAGTTGAAAAAAATTAGTGGGTGCTTAGCACCCACTGACAGCCAAGATTCTCCTCCCCCTCCCAGCACCTCCCGTCCGCAGGCGACCCCAGTGATCAGCTTCTCAAGAAAAGAGGACACGCCATGGGGGTTGTCAGCCCCGCCCAGAGTCCACCCCCGGTTCTCCCTCCCACACTCCGCCCCTACTCTGTACCAGGTCCCATTCCCTCCTCACTCGGCCCTGCCATCGCACCCCTCCTCACCCCTTGGCCCGCCACTGGCTTGCTGCGTCCCTCCTCAGTCCCCCACCCACCGCTCGCCTCCTCCCACCTGCCACTCACCTCCTCACTCCCCTGCCAGAAATCCCCATGCCCGCCCTGAGAACCCCCACCTGCCACTGGCTCGCCACTTGCCTCCTCACCCCCACCCACCTACCTACCCACCCACCTACCTGCTGCCGGCTCCTTCGCCGCTTGCCTCTTGAACCCCCGCTGCCCGCCGCTGGCCTTTTCACACCCCGCCCCACCTGCCGCTGGCTCGCCACCCGCCTCTCACCCTCCCCACTAGCCGCCTGCCTCCTCACCCTCCCGCCCGCTGCTGGCTCCCTCGCTGCTCACCTCTTCACC